AATTCTCACTTCTCTCATCTGCAAAAGGAAGTTGAGACTAATGTCCATTTACCTAATTCTATGGAGTTTTAGTAGGTCGGATGAGACAATGCACTTATGAGAGGTTTGTGAGTGATAAAGCTCTTTGCAAGGCTACTTACCCTTATCTTAATAAAAACTAAATAGGGTGCCTGGCTTGCTCAGTCGGTGGAGCATGGGACTCTTGATCTTGGGGTTGTAAGTTCGAGCCCTACATTGGGTGTAGAGATTGCTTTAAGAAGAAAATAAAAAACAACAACAACAACAACAAAAGCTAAACCCATGTACTTGCACAGAAGCCCTCTCATGTACCAACCTCACCCTGAGAATGTTAGATGAGCTGGAGAGGTGTCTTATGTTACAACCTTCCTTTTTTAAAAAAATATATTTTTAAAGATTTTATTCATTTATTCATGAGAGACAGACAGAGACAGAAGGGGGGGGTAGAGGCAGAAACACAGACAGAGGGAGAAGCAGACTCCATGCAGGGAGCCTGATGTGGGACTCGATCCTGGGTCTCTAGGATCAGACCCTGGGCCAAAGGCGGTGCTAAACCACTGAGCCACCAGGGCTGCCCTGTTACAACCTTCCTAATGTGGGAAAGTCAGGCTACACACCTGCTGGGGCACTCCGCCCTTCATTTTTCAGCCTAAACACAGCCCCAAATTTCCCCTTCCTAGCACATGGCTAATTTCCTTCTCCACTTCCCACCTGGTTGGCACTCTTGAGGCCAAAGCATGTCTTCCAGACCCCTATCAAAGTAGATTCTTCAAGGGACCAGAATGAAACCGTTCATCTCTATGCTGTCCATGGTTGTGTTTTTTTGTTTGTTTGCTTGTTTTCATGAGAGACACAGAGAGACAGAGACATAGGCAGAAGGAGGAGCAGGCTCCCTGCAGGGATCCTGATACGGGACTCAATCCCAGGATCATGACCCAAACCAAAGGCAGATGCTCAACCACTGAGCCACCCAGGTGCCCCTATGTGCAAGACAAAATGAGCTCTGCTTCCAAACTCCTATACCAACTATCAATGTCTGTTTGCTCATTTACGCAGCAATTACTTCTGGAGCACTGTCTCTGGGTCAGGCACCGGGCTGAGTACTGGGGATACAGGAATGGGGAAGACATAAAGTAGTTCAGAAGTTTCGAGAGATGAAAGTCATCTTATGTGCAATTTTGCATTTTTTCAGTGCTCAGTTGCTTGGTTCCTCTTCTTTATTTCTCACACCCTTATGTAATGTTGTGTCCCGGAGAAACTCAGGCCCAGGATTTTTGGAACCCAGGGGAACAATCAAAATCAGCTTCTTATTGGAAAGCTGTTCCTGTACAAAGCTTCAGTATGCCTTGAGGGCACCCAGGTCCTTTGTTTCAGGAAAAAGTGCTAAAATTGGTCTTGTACATACGGAAATACAAAGGAAGAGCTTTTTCCAAAATGAAGATGTTGGATGTGTTCTGACTACGAGAAGCCAAATCAGCCTTAGGATGATGAAGGCCAAGAGCAGAGGTCTGTGGAGAGAAGGAAGTTATGTCTCTCACCCAGCAGATCCATGGTCTCCATTCCCATCCCCATGGTTTGAGGACCAGGGCCAGAAGCACAACCAAATGGTTCACAAATGACTTTGGGAGACTTGGACCATACACTGAAGCTTTGGGGTGCATTGACAAAGCTTGGTACTGAATCAGGGTGAGGGGCATTATCCTCACACAGAGAACCCCACTTCTTGCGGGCACCCAGAAGCATGGCAGTTTGGGCTTCCTCAAGTGGCTTTAGGGGTATGTGTGGTCAGCCAGTGGGAGCTGATGGAGGCTGGCTGCCCCACAGCAGACTGGCTTGTGGATGCACATGAAGCACCCTTTTGGGACTCCCTGAGAGATCTGGGGAACTGGTCTGCCTTCGACTCAGGTCATGATCTCAGAGTCCTTGGATCGAGCCCTGTACTGGGCTTCCTGCTCCACAGTGAGAAAGTACAAGTGGGGAAGTGGCAGGCAGAGGCAGAGGCAGAGGGAGAAGCAGGCTCCTCGTTGAAGAGGGAGCCCGAGGTTGGTTGGGCTCAATCCCAGGACCCCGGGATCATGCCCCAAGCTGAAGGCAGACACTCAATCACTGAGCCACACAGATGTCCCATAATTCAAATGTTTAAAAAGAATAAAAATTAAATCTTAAGAAAAAAATCAGAATTTTCAAAGGATTGTCTTATTTGCCTAAGATGGACCACAAACCATGAGGTGGTGACCTGCTCCGCTGAGCTAGTGCCAGCTCTGGCATTCACACCCCACGGTCTCTAGGCTTCTACTGTCTGTTTCTGGCTTAGCAGGCAGTGCTCAGGGATGGGGCACAGCCCAGCACCCAAACAGCCTGCTCCTTGGTGGGCAGGCTGGGCACCAGCTTCAGGTCTGCACGCATCTCAGAAGGGGAAACCTCAGCCACCGAGGGGAAGAACATCACTCTGCCCAAGGCACCACCTTATACCCCTCCTTCTTCCAAACCACAGCCCCAGAGCTTCTGGGCCTGACTTCTTGGGGTTTTTTCCTTGGTCCTCAACTTTCCACGGCCATTTCTCAGTTCTGCTCTTTCCCTGGTTTTGACTTATAGATGCCAGCTGCTGTCTGTACCACCCCGTCCTTGTGGTAGCACCTCTCATCCCCAGATCAAGTCCAGCTGTGACTCCTCACAGCTCAGGTGCGGGGAGGGGTGTGTGTGAGAGAGAGATGGAGACAGAGACAGACAGATACTTTTGAACCTTTCCCAGAGGCCTCTTGGTATCACCAGTAAGTTCTGGACAAGTTAAATATTCATGATTACCCCACTGGACAGACATGGAGATTGACTTGCCCAAGGTCTCCAGGGTGACCTAGTGTTGGGGCAGTGGGACGGCCAGGCCCCACATTCCAGGCCTGTCATCTCCACACCACAGTCCTTCCTGTAGGCAGTGTACCAGGCATGCACAGACTGTCTCGTGTCTTCTAGGGCAGTTCTGAACTGTCATTGTTTTTTTTATTTATGGGGACACCTGGGTGGCTCAGCGGTTGCGCATCTGCCTTCATCTCAGGGCATGATCCTGGGGTCCTGGGATCGAGTCCCCCATCAGGCTTCCTGCAGGGAGACTTCTCCCTCTGCCTGTGTCTCTGACTCTCTCATGAATAAGTAAAATCTTAAAAAAAAAAAAAAAATTATTTATTTATTTGAGAGAGAGAGAGAGTGGGTAAGAGAGAGAACACAAGCAGGGGCAGCAGCAGAGGGAGAGGGAGAGGCAGGCTCCCTAGGGAGCAGGAAGCCGATGTGAGGCTCCATCCCAGGACCCTGGGACCATGCCTCCAGCTGAAGGCAGATGCCTAACCGACTGAGCCACCTGGGCGGCCCCTAAACTATAATATTTTCACAAACACAGTCCCCCTTGTTAGGTCACACATGTCAAGTTTTTCCTCAGAATGCGTGGTGATGAAGGAGTCTTCCGGCCCGCAGGGTCCAGGCCCTTCCTGACGGGGTCAAGCCGCGAGGCCTGGAGGAGGAGCGCTGGGCCGGCGCCCGGCAGAGCTCGGTGAGGTGAAGCCCAGGACTGCTCCCTGCCTGCCGGGAGCCACACAATCCTTTACGAGGCCGTCATGAAGGTCAAGCCTGGGAGTCGCCCTCGGTTGGCAAGTTAACCAGAATGCCAGTCGCGATGACACTGAGGTCATGTTCTAGTGAGCAAGTCCTGAACTAGGTCTTCCTCCACCCTCCTGACTGGCTTCTCCCTTCCCTGCGGGGATAATCTGTCATCAGCCTCGCTTCCTGCCAAACTAGAAAGCGTGAGGGGCGGTGGGTGGCACCAGGAATGCTGAGGCTTTAATGGGGAGCAGATTGTACTGCAGGAGACATGACTGCCAAGCCCCTAATTACTTGGGGGGGGGGGGTGCTGCAGGGAGACCAGCAGTAACCACAGCTGTGGGGAGGGCAGGGCCTGAGGCAACGCCACCACTCAGGTCCCCGAGGCCCTGGGGAAAGCTGGCCTCTTGGCCTGCACTTCATTTTATGGGGTTCTTCTGCTCTTTTCTTGGAGGAGCTACATGCCTAGGTTTTTGTGATTGCTGCCTTAAAGCACTGCTTCCTGTGTCCCCAGACCCACCCACAGGTGTCCCCGTTTGACCTTCTTGAGTCCCCTTTACCAGCTCTGCCACAGATGGTCCTTCCGTGGAAATCACCTCCAGGCTGTAAACTTCTTCCTCCAGCCCCAGGGATGGAGTCCACATCTCTCCTCTTGCCACATCCTTCTCGTTTCCCTTACTCTGTGAGTCAGAGTGGGTAGGGGACTTCATTCCTACTTTTTTTTATACTTTCGAAAAAGTATTTTCTAGTTCCAACTTGAAAATATTTCTGTGAACTAGAGCATCAGTTTTCTTCCACATTTTACTTTGGAACAAACCCCAGGTAGAGCTAGTGGGAGTGGAGCCTAGTTCCCTGCTGGCCTGCTGGGTTGGCCTAGGGAAGGTTAGGGGGCCTGTGGGGTGGGGGTGAGGACTCCTGGGTGGGGCCCAGGGAGTAGCCCAGGGGTGAGGCTGCAGGTGGCAAGGAGGCGGTGAGGAAGCCACTGCCTGGCAGTCTTTTAACTCCTGATTTCATCTCTGATCCATGGAAGTGATTTTCCAAAGGCTGTGAGGCCTCTACCCTGGTCTTGCTCACCCCAGAATGAGGCCTGGGCCAGGCTCCTTGCTCAATTTGGAGCTGTGTGTCCCAAGCCACACTGCCTTGACTTGCTCTCTGAGGGGAGAACAAGGAGGAAGCGCTGGCGCTCGCCAGGGTCAGCACGCAGAAGGTGTTCTATACTCCTGGCAGCCTGCTGGTTCAGGTCCAGGCCCAGGTGGCTACAGGCCACAGGATGGATGACTCACGTATGTTGTGCTGGACAAACAGGCTAGTATTCTCAACCCAGTAGGGTGATGACAGTAATTAGCTTTTGTGTCGTCATTATACCACCACCTTCTGAGGGTGGACTTGCCAGGCCTGCAGCCAGGGCCTGAGGAGGTTGGCAGGAATGTGGTTATCTTGGTCTGTATCTTGTTACCTAGGATTCTTCTTGATGCTTCTAGAGCTGGGCTTGGAGCTGAGCCAGCGGCACCTGCGTTGTCTGATGATGTCATGGAGGCTGCTGGACTCAAAGAGCCTACTCAGAGCAAGAATAATGTGAAGTAATTCTGGTGAGTCTCTTTCTCCTGAGCCCGACACCCATCCTTTCATTGCTCCCTTCTCTCAGGAGACCCAGAAGACCAGGCAAACTGGAGAAATGGCCAGAGGGATGGTTGGGTGGAAGCCAGTAGGGTAACTGAATGCTAGGTGCGCAGCTACAAATTGTTGTATCTGCCTTATTTAAATAATATTTTAAAAAGATCTAGTATTTACTGAGCACTTTACATATCTGCTTTGCTTCTCAAAACATCCCTATGATGTAGCTACTAGCCTTAGCCTCATTTTATAGATAGAAAAACTGGGGCATGGAGTAGCTGGCTCGGAAGCACATAGCTAGTAACCAAAGAATCCAGAATTTGAACCCCAACTACTGACCTGAAGCCCATGCTTATCACTCCCACGGTCCTGCCTCTCTTCTGCTGTCACTGGGGCTGTTCAAGGGGGTTGTACACAGAAACTTAGGATTCTAGGCCTGGCCCACTCACTACACCCACGGTGTGATCTTGGCTATCACTCTGGCCTTCAGATCCCTCGCTGTAGAAGCAGAGACCGTGTACAGGTGTTAGGCCAAGGAGTCTTTGCAACCGGGAGTTTCTCAGTCTATGGCTCTGGGGCACATGGAAATAGCCCTGAGGAAAGGTCCCACTCTTCTCCTCTGGACAGCCCATTGGAAGTGTTTACTCCTGATTATCAAGGGCAGCGTCAAGAGCATTTGGACAGGGCAGTGATAAGCTCATGGCCTGGTACCCCTGCCAGAGGGAGCAAAGCTGCTTCCCCACTCCACACATCAGTTTCCCTACTGGATTCAGTGGAGACAATGACTACTTTGTGCTCTGTTACAGTGAGTCAGGGTTAATTAGTATTAGTCACAGGCTTTGGAATCTTCACAAGGAGAGGTCATCTGCTGGGTCCTTGCTGCACTGTGGCCGTGATGACACACATTCTGGCCCATGCCCTTATGAATGTGTCCTCAAAGCTTCATTAGTGGCTTGCCTAACTCTGTGGGTTGACCCTGAGGTGACCCAGCTTCAAGTGCTGGTGCTGAGACTGCCATGAGGATGACACCTCAGGAGGGCCACTTCATTGATGCCAGTGTAGCTGCCAATGGCCTATCATGCTCTGGGGTTCCTCTCGCAGCTGAATTCCTATTCACACTGGCTTCTTGGCCATGCTACTCTTGCCTCTAACCCTGGACACAGGGTCCTACACCTACCTTAAGGTGTTTTTCTTTCTTCTCTGGCTTCTCAGTAAACATCCATTCTCTCCGTTTTTCTCTCTCCCCACCGACTGTCTTGTGCTTTCTGACCATCTCTTTTCCCAATCCCTGTATAAGCCTATGGAGGAAGCAAGGCAGCTGCAGCCTTTAAGGAATATCAGTTTGGTTGGGAGAAAAGACTGTAGCAAAGTGAGGACAAATGTAAGAATGATGCTGAAAATGAGAATAAGCCAAGTGAGAAAGAAAGAGCTGTGATATCTGCCACTGTCATCTGTTAGTGATTAATATGAAGTGGAGAGGCAAGGCTTGTCTGGTCTCTGCAATTCGTGTTCAATTCAGGCCTGTGAGGAAGTCAGATGTGGAGCATGGGGGCCATCTGGTGGCTTCAGAAGGTACTGCTGCATTTCTGCTCAGCACTAAGGCCACACACCTGATCGTGACCCTCCAAGTCTGTTACAGTGACTTGGGGACTTCCCGCCCAACGTCACATGATGGTTAAGGAGGGGAGCTTTTCCAGTCACTTAATATCTGATACATCACCTTTCACTTGACAGATAACTTCCTTAGATCTACAGAAGAAAGGTTTCACATCCGTTTTCTTCCCCTAATAGAGGAGGAGGAGTCTTCATAGAAGACGAAGACAAGACCATGGCACAGCTGGAGGGTTTCAGAGCAAAGATGTATCCAGACATGTCGATGAAAGGAAAAGGGATGATGGACGATACTGCCCAAATCTAGATGGGAAGGATTAAAAGGTTCTACAAAAGTAGCCATTTGTTTTCTTTTTAATGTGGTAAAACACATATAAAACATACCATCTTGGGGTGCCTGGGTGGCTCAGTGGTTGAGCATCTGCCTTTGCCTCAGGTCATGATCCTGGGATCCTGGGATCAAGTCCACATCAGACTTCTCGCAGAGAGCCTGCTTCTCTCTCGGCCTATGTCTCTGCCTCTCTCATGAATAAATAAAATCTTTTAAAAATATACCATCTTAACCATTTTTGAGAGTACAGTAAGTAGTGGTAACTACATGCATATTGTTGTGCATAGATCTCTAGAACTTTTTCATCTTACACAACTGAAACTCTATACACACTGAAGTCCCCATTTCCCCCTCCTCCTAGTACCTGGAAACCACATTCTCCTTTCTGTTTCTATGAATCTGACTCCTTCAGATAGAAGCAGAATCACACAGATTTTGTCTTTTTGTGACTGGCTTATTTCACTCAGCATAATGTCCTCAAGGGTCATCCATGTTCTAGTGCCTGACAGGACTTCTTTTTTTTTTTTTTAAATGGCTGAATAATGTTCCATATAGTATGCAGATACCACAGTTTTCTTTATTCGTTTATCTGTCCATGGACATTTAGTTTGCTTCCACCTCTTGGCTATTGAATAACGCTGCAATGAGCATGGGTGTGTAGCCATTCCTTTATTAACAGTCTCTCTCCATGAAGAGACTCAGCTCAGAAAAGGATGAATTAGATTCCACAGTGGAGTGAAGGTGAACTGAAGATGAATGGAAGAAAGGGAGGGAAGGGGGACAGAGCACTCTCTATATCCATTCCCATATTATTTAGAACAGGTCACCTTCCTATCCAGTCTATAAACTGTGAAAAAAGAATACACGGTATGAGGCAGGAAGCTACAAAGAATGTTTTTTGTATATTTTTTAAAAAGATTTTATTTATTTATTAATAAGAGACAGAGAGAGAGGCAGAGACACAGGCAGAGAGAGAGAAGCAGGCCCCATGCAGGGAGCCCGACGTGGGACTCAATACCGAGTCTCAAGGATCGCACCCCAGGCTGAATGCAGGCACCAAACTGCTGAGCCACCCAGGGATTCCCTGTTTTTTGTATATTTGTTCACGTATCAAATATGTAGCAGAACTAGGTAATAACTTACTTGGCAACTTTCAAGATAAAGCTTTATTGTTATTCTATCTGAACATGGTTACTTATTGCTACTTTTATTGTTTCTCACCTACCTTATGTCAAAGGCAGACAAAAGGGAACAGCAGAAACAATAAAGTGTGGAAACTTAGATACCTGGGGGTGGTGGTGGAGAGAATATAAAGTTACCAGAAATGTTTGCTAGGCCACTGAATACTGGTTATAGAATTATAAAGATGAAGGAGACACAAATTTTAATTTATTGTATAAGCAGTAGGATGAAGATTAAAACAAAATACAAAGGACATCACATGTCCCATTTGAATACATTATCTTTTCATTCTCTCAAGTTCTCTTCTAGTCATGGCTATATAAATCCCACCAGAGAGAGGTACATGCCCCTGCACCATTGCCCACGTATGTCACAAATGACTTTCCTCCCTGCAACAGGTTTATTACAATTATTATAAATTATTATAATTGTTTGAATCATATTACACTGATTTGTACTCTGTGAAGCTGTTAGATGTTTAGGTTATGTTCAGTTTCTTCTTAGAAGTTACCATCGAGTGAACATCTTCCTGTAGATCCCTTTTCTTCTTTTGAACTATATTCTTGGTTAGGAGGCAGAGAGAGTGTTAGCAGAGTCATTAAATTACACTTTAATTTGCTTGTAACATGGAGATAGTGTCTCTTTCTCACTTGCTATGAGGATTCAGTGAGGTAAAAAAATGTAGTGTTTAGTAGAGTACGTGCCCACAGTGCTTCCTTGGATTGAGAGCTATTTGTAGTGGTAGCAAATTCAATTTTTAGGGCTTCTATTCAAGATTGTTCCTGTCCCCTGGTTCAGGTCGCACTTAAACGGCAGGCTCTAGCTGCAGGCTTTGCTTCACTATCACTTCAAAATGGCTCGAAACCCACCCAACACCAAGCCATCCGTGTGTGCATTTCCTTCTTCTCCTTTGGTTTTAGGTTAGGCTGGACAAGACTCACTAGGAAATGGACATGAAATCTAAAGATGATTTTCTTGTCTCTGGGATCTTGGTTTTCCTCATGAGAACTCTGAGAGTCCCGGAGGTGAACCTGGAATTCTTTCCTGGTCAGACATTTATGTTTCAACTTGCATCCTCTTGAAGGTTGTTACTGACCTACTGTGGGAAACAACCCTACCCCCACCCCCATATCTACCTACTGCAATAGGAACAGGCAGCTGACAGAAATGAGGACACAGAGCTGAAAGTGTATTATTAAAATGGCCTGAATCTTTGGATGTCTGACTAAACTACCATGTCTCTTGGGATCCCTGGGTGGCGCAGCGGTTTGGCGCCTGCCTTTGGCCCAGGGCGCGATCCTGGAGACCCAGGATCGAATCCCACATCGGGCTCCCGGTGCATGGAGCCTGCTTAAAGATGTAAAAGAATCTTTAAAAAAAAAAAAACCTACCATGTCTCCATGGCCTACCACTCTTCCCCAGAAACCATACAAACTTGGTTCCCCTGCCTTCTCTCTCTTCCTCATTGGCTTCTGCTACACAACAGCCAACTGATGCAGAGTGGCACCGTGGAAAGAAAACCAGTAGCCACTAGGAACACTTTAGCCAATAAGCAACAAGAGAAAAGAGAGAATGAGACAAAGATGGAATGAGTGGCCTCTGATTAAAGCTGCAGTATTCACTTCGGAGGGCATGGGTCAATTGACCCAGATACCAGCTACCTAAAGCCAAAAAAGACCAGGGTAGGGATAAAACTATAAATAGCAAGGAAAACTGAGGAGGCAGTGTTTGTACTTTTGCTGTTGGTCAAGCTGTTTTTGTTACTAAGATGGAACAGGGTGGAAGGGATTTAAAAGCTGGCTTTGAAGCAGCCACAACTGGTCTAAGGGTGTGACGACTAAAAGAGGAAAGCCCCCAAAGAGCATGTTGCACCTGCTAACTTAGTCTCTTAAAGTTAGCTAAACTTTAAAAAGAGCCAGGTGAGAGACTCACGTCTGGATACCAGTATCCCATGAGCAGTTACGAGATATTCCTGCCAGCTGTGAGACACAGATCTCCACTTTGTGCCCAGGGAAGGAAGATCACAGAGCCATGGCACTGAAAGATATTCCCAGCTGTGTCATAATGGAAAGTTCAGAAGGCTGGGAAGAATGGGTCAAATGCAGCTCTGCCACATTCTAGCCATTATGATGGAGCTTGTTGTAAAGGCCATGGAACTCAGTCTTCCCCTTTGTAGAAACAAAATCTCCTTGGATGGGAAGTGTAACTTTTGTTAAAACAAAACATAGAATCTTAGAGACCCCAGTGGAGAAAAACAGTAAGAGGAAGAGTCTGAAAGCAGGAAGGATTGGCCGAACCAGGGAGTCTGAACAGCCTGAAATAGCAGGGCGTCTCCACCCTGTTGCTGGCACCAAGACTGCAAAAGAAGGTTCTCACCTGTGAAGTAGAGAGGAAGGCCATGGAAGTTCTGTTTGCCAGCAAATGACTAACACAGAGATTACACAGCATCCTCGTGAGCTACCTACCATGGTTAATGAAAGCAAGAAAATTCCTTACAGTGATGATTTATAGTGCCAACTCTGGGGATGGTAAAGTAGCAAAAATGACATTTTAGGCAATTATCTTCTTTAAAAGAATCTGCCAAAAGAAGAAAAAAATTGTATTTTCAAATAAAGAATCAAATCAGGAAAAGTGGGTTCCTAGAAAGGCCACACCAAACTTTTATGGGAACAAGAAGAACACTTCAGCCTGGGTTTGAAGTGATGTCCTGGTGTGTGGAAGAGAGAACAGCAGCTTTGAGGTTCATGAGCTCAATTCCATTTGTATCAGCATTTTCCAGGGAAAGAGAAGCAGTATGATATGTATAGATACACAAAGATTTACTAGGGGAATTGGCCCACACGATTACAGAGGCTGAGGAGCCCCCAATCTGTCTCATGCAAGTTGGAGGTGAAGGAAAGCCGATGGTGCAGCTCCAATCCAAGCCCGAAGGCCCGAGACCCAGGAGCTCCGAGGTCCAAGAACAGAAGACAGATGTCACAGTTTGAGGAAAAAAACACATTCACCCTTCCCCTGTCTTTTGTTCCATTCAGGCCCTCAATGATTGGACCATCCCCACTTGCATTGGTGAGGGTGATCCACTTTACTTCTTCGCCAATTCAAAAGCTCATCTCTTCCTGAAATACCCTCACTTATGTGTCTAGAAATAATATTTTCTCAGCTATCTGGTCATCCCTCAGACGAGTTAGGCTGACACATAAAATTAACCATCACTCTATCTGAGAACACCCACTACTGTTTGAAAGTCCAGTCTAGTAGTGTAGTCACCAGAAACTCGGACAGGTAGTCTCGAGCTTTGGTACATGGTAACACAGGCTGATGTAAGGTGGATGGCTTTACTTCTACTCAGCTCTCTAGATTGTGAGCATTTGAAACAATGACCCTCGACTGCAGCACACTGGGTCCTCCTCTTCTGCGCCCTGGGACATCTTTTGTAGACAGATACTGAACTCAAAATTATTAAAAATACAACTGTTGTGTTCCCTCTCCACTTGGGTTCTCGATCTGAAACGGTTGGCCACAGACCATGAGGTCACCCTTGATTCCTCCCTCTTCCTCATGCCCACATTGTTCATGTTAAAGTTGTCACTGACGTTGCTGTCAAGTCATCTATTGTCCCTGCCATCACACCTCCCTTAGAGCTTTTTTCTGTCTCCCCTAAGGTGCTATCCACACACACCACAATTATCTTCCTCAGTACAAATGTCATTTCCCTACTCAAAAACTCACCAAGGTTTCCTTTTCTCACAGAATCAAGACCACAGTCCTCAGGAGAACACAAAAGACTCCAATCTGGCCCAACTTCTATTCTCTCACCTCTCTTCAACTCCTCAATGTACAGATCTAGCCACAGCAGAATACTTGCTCTTTCAGGAACATAGGAAATTCTGCTCACAACATTCCTTCAGCCTCAAATGACATTATTTCATTGTCTACTGTATGCCAGGCAGTTTCAAGCACTGAGATGACAAGACAGTGGGGAGCCTGGCTGGCTCAGTTGGCAGAGCATACTGACACTTGATCTTGGGGTCATGAGTTCGAGACCCATGTTAGAGATAGACTTTATTTAAAAAAAAAAAAAAAAAAAGATGGACAAGGTCCCAGTTCTCCCAGAGCCTACATCTCCTACTCATCTCCAAGTCCAGATCAAATCTACCCACTTCCTGGAAACTCTCTCCAATTCCATTCATGAGAAAACACTTTTTAAAGAGGCTCTACACCCTAAGTGGGTCTTGAACTCACAATGCTGAGATCAAGGGTCACACATTCAGGGCACCTAGGTGGCTCGGTTGGGAGAATGTCTGACTGTTTTGGCTAAGGTCATGATCTCAGGGTTGTGAGATCCAGCTCCACATCAGGCTCTGCGCTCAGTGGGAAGTCTGCTTGAGATACTCTCTCTCCTTCTGCTCCTCCCACTCATGCTGTCTCTCACATCTTAAAGAAAAAAAAGTCGTACCCTCTGCCAACTGAGCCAGCTGGTGCCCCTCACTTCTTTTTATACTTCTCCTGGTGTATTGAGCACTAAAAAAAAAAAAAAAAAAGATTTTATTTATTTATTCATGAGAGACACAGGAGAGAGAATGGCAGAGACAGAGGTAGAGGGAGAAGCAGGATCCATGCAGGGAGCCTGATGTGGGACTCGATCCCAGGATCCCAGAATCACACCCTGGACTGAAGGCGGCGCTAAATCACTGAGCCACCGGGGCTGCCCTGTACTGAGCATTCTTGTGCAACATTTGTGTAGAAACGTGTCTTCCAGCCTGGATGACGAACTCCTTGAGGGCAGAAACAGGTAGTAAATATGTTTGCATTCTACAAGGGCTTGCACAGTGCCTCCCACATGGAAGAGACTGAATGTTTCTTGAATTACACCAAGTCTACCTAAACCTGCTTCCATTTATACTTTAAACACACACACACACAAAACTTGTGGAGCTTTTTTTTTTTAAGATTTTATTTATTTATTCATGAAAAAAAAAAAGATTTTATTTATTCATGAGAGACACACACACAGAGAGAGAGGTAGAGACACAGGCAGAGGGAGGAGCAGGCTCCATGCAGGGTGCCTGACATGGGACTTGATCCCAGGTCTCCAGGATCACACCCTGGGCTGAAGGCAGCACTAAATCGCTGAGCCACCCAGGCTGCCCTCTCCACGGCAATTTTTAATCTCTATTTCCCTCCGAGGAAAGTACTCAAATTTCTTTAAAATAAGCAAAGCTCAGGACGCCTGGGTAGCTCAGCAGTTTAGCACCTGCCTTCGGCCCAGGGCGTGATCCTGGACTCCTGGGATTGAGTCCCACATCGGGCTCCCTGCATGGAACCTGCTGCTCCCTCTGCCTGTGTCTCTGTGTCTCTCATGAATAAATAAATAAAATCTTAAAAAAAATAAATAAAATAAATAAAAATTGCAGTGGAGAGACTTTAAAAAATTCATCCACATTATTAGAACCTGGAATTAGGGTTGTAGTCCTTTTGAACTACATCTTGTCAATGTTAATGATTCTACACTACTCCTAAAGCAGTGACCTAGAAGATGTGAGCTTCTAGAGGGCAGACTTCAAACTCATTTAGTCACCAGTTAGTGAAAGGTTTCCACTCTGGGGCTCTAAGTCTTATCTCTGTGAATGTTTGAGAGTTGTCTGCCAACCAATATCTAAGGGGGACCACGGAAACTGACAATGAACACTCATGCCAAAGGCAAAAGAGTACCCTTACAAAAATAACCTAGAAACAGCCTCTGGGTCTCATTCACTGATAGAAGTTTGATTTAGGAGAGCTATCAACACTATTTACCCTCTTAAAAATTAGGATTGAAAGATGACAAATTTAAAAATCTGGCATGCATGAAAAAAAAGGAACTGTCCTTCAGACTAGAGATTTATGCAACCTATGATCCTGAATTGGACCTGGTTTGGGCAAATCAAATGTGAAGAACATCTTGGAATACTTAGGAATTTTACATATGGACCAGGTGGGTACTAGATGATGTTAAGGGGACATAATTTTTTTGGGTGAAGAATACAGAAACAATGTACTGTTGAGAGATGGAAATTGAAGTTCAGCATGGGTAGAATATAATGATGTCTATTATTTTCTTTAAAATATTTCAGTATAAAAGTGAATCAGAAATCCAACCAAAGTTACTAAAAGAAAATAGGACAATTCAGACAGTATCTACTTTCTAGCTTTCCTGGCCCCTTTATCAGTGGGTAGTCTTATTTAGATGGGGCAGGTCAGGGTCAATCTTCTTCACCACAGACACTGATGCTCCCCACCAGCAGTGAAAGAGCCTTGGGGAGCCCCATTCAAGGGAGCCAATATACAGAAGGCACATGGAGAGGCAGGTCCTTCAGGAGAGAAGGACCTGCCTCCCTTATTGTAGCCTCCCATTCAGTTATTGTCAAAGTGAAGAGAGAACATTGTCAGCCTATCATTCACTATAACACATCAGGAAATCTCCTGGGGACATAACGAACACTCTCTGGCTCAGAAATACCTCTTTGGGGGCACCTGGGTGGCTCAGTGTCCAACTTGTGATTTTAGCTCAGGTCATGATCTCAGGGTGATGAGATTGAGCCCCACGTAGGACTCTGTGCTCAGAGCAGGGTCTGCTTGGGATTCTCTCTCTCCCTCTTTCCTTTATCCCTCCCCCACCTATAAAAAAAGATGAGAAAAAAAAAAAAGAAATACCTCTTTGACTAGAATCACAAGTAAATTAACATATGTTAGGCTTTGCAGCCAATCTGCAAACTCAAATTTTGATTTTGTTGGGGCTCCTGGGTAGCTCAGTTGGTTAAGTGTCTGTCTTTGGCTCAGGTCCTGATCTCAAGGTCCTGGGATCAAGCTCAGTGGGGAGTATGCCTCTCTCTCTGCTCCTCCCTATTGTTCATGCTTTCTCTCTCTCAAATAAATCTTTTTAAAAATAAAACAAAAATAAAATAAAATTTTGATTTTGCTTAGTGTTCCACTGAAGTTTTCTGAGGGTCTGCCTTATTTATAAACATCAGCCCAGGAGGCAAGAAGGAACACAGCTCTTGAGCAGTAAGAATATTCACAAATATTTTATTAATACATACTGTCATATTCCCAGTATACAAGAGCCCTTGAGACACTGCCCAGTACAGAAAGACACTAAACGTGCTCAGAGCCTTGGTCTTCTGTCTGGTTGAAGTGACCCCACACTCTTAATAGGACCACATGTGCTGTACCTCACCTGTCCACACCCCCGCATGGAAACAGGCTTCCCTTCAGTCAGATGCAGAGAGTGACACTCACTGCTTTTTGCAAGGATGATGGCTTCTGATGGTTATACCAGAATGGAAAAAACTTGGCATCAGCTGACCACAAAGAAATTCAGACTTCATTTCCCAAAGTCATTCATTCTGCTTCTCTTCGGGAAGGGCTAGAATGTCTTCAGGATGAGCATAAAGATTCCCACTGCCGGAATATTCGGAATACCTTCCTGGATTTCTCAGAGAGACTCTATAGGTAAAAAAGCTCATTATCAGAGATTAAATTCTTTTATAGAGATGAATGATGGGGTAGTAACAGCTTTAAGGGTTGGTCTGAAAATTTCTCCCATGGTGATCTAAATAGGTCTAGGATTGAGAGAAACTAGTTAATTTTATATTACTACTTTACATCATATATATATAATATACACCTAACACCAGACTAAAAATCAAGATAGCCTGCGTTCTACAGTTAGACTACTGCTAACACACTCTGACCCTCTCAAACGCAGCTCACGTCCTCCCTCCACGTATCTGCATCTGTCCTAACCTTGTTGTGTGAGGCTGACACTACTGACCCACCATTAGTGGGGCACACATGTTGCACTGGTTTCCATTAGTGATGCTGAATGGGCCCTAGTTCATTATTTCTTGTGAACAAGGATTCACATTTACATGATGCTTCACTGGGGTTAATAGTATAAACCAAGACCAAAGGGTAAAACAAAGTTAATGACTCTTTAAACTATGACCCTGGCCTTCTCAGCTTCATTTTTAGCCAGCAGAGCTAATAATAGGAAGACTCTCATTGCCACTTGATCGTGCCTATGAAGTGATCTGAGATTCTGAGAAATGGTGTTACAGGGAGACAAAGCAATTTACTGAAAGATAAAAGTTCTCAGTGAATCAGAACAGTTGGTTCTCTCTGACTTTGAGAGTCACAGTGAAGAGCACAGGGTCTCAGTGAGAATATAAATAATAATCTAGCAAGATAATCGATAAAGTTGCCTCCAGCTTCTGACATCAGAAGATATGTCTTCTTATCCTCTTAGTTGGATGTATGTTTCAAAAAAAAAATAAAAGTCCCGGGTAGGGGGTTGGGAAGAATGTGAGCTCTTATTAATGATGGAGGGGAATTTACTGAACATACTGACAAAGTTAAAAGAAACTTAAGTTGAGAAAAATAACTTTCTTCTAACATCAATATCTTTGGTCCAGTCTTATTAAACTCTGAATTTCCCAGTCATTGCAGCTATGGAAAGGTTAAACATAAAACCAAAAAGCATCTCAAGTCCTGGAACCCAGGGTCAATTATGAGGCCAACTTCTCCCACTACAAATACAAAACAAAACAAAAAAACTGCCAAACAAAAACCCCCACAAAAACCCTGTAGGATTTCTTGTTCGTAAGACAGTGACAGAGGTCAGTCAATAAGACTCTGTTTCATAAAGATCTAGGCAGAGAAGATACATGCAGACATTTGTCTTTAGATAGCTTTACATATTTTTAAAAGTTTTTTAAATTGGAAAGATATAGCTTTTTTTTTCCTGTGGAAAAACTTTGGGAAGCCTTCATTTATGTTATTTACCGAGGGTACAAATGTACAGTCTTAGGCTTTTAGCACAGTTATATTCTTCTCCAGTAGAATCCCACAAACCTGGGAGTGCTTCTTATAAACAGCTATTGGCATGTATTATTTTACTTTGCCCTTGGAGGACACAGGGCTCAGAAATTATTTTATTCATACCACACTATAAGGCAAATTTGGGAATGAACCAACAAAAGAAAGAGAACCCAGTTGCCATGATTCCTTCAAGTCCGCACTCCCACTATCACTTCCACCCTTTACACAGAGTAAACAATTGACTTGTTTTCTCAGCTGTCATGATGGATTTGCATCTGCCCACATTTTGTAAATAGCAGCAAGCATGACTGCAATGGCTAGCTGAGGCAAAGTAATGTGCCACCGTGAGGAATGAAACTAATTCTGGGGTCAGAGTACAGTGCTCCAGACAGCTAACTGGCCAGGCTCCAAATGCAAGTGACAGCAACTGATAGAAAAAGCAGCTGTTCTGCAACAAGAGGCCGGAGCAGCTGCCTCTCCATCTATTTCTGTTTTTGTACTTCTCTGCTTTGAGTCATTTTAGTTGAGAAGACAATTTGCCATAATTTTAGGGAAGGCCAAATGCTAAGCTACAGGAAGACTGAATCAGTTCCATGTCGATTCTCTAGGACGAAACCTGATTCTGTCTAACTTGACTTCTGAAAGCTGAGGGCAGGCAGGGTGCTAATTATAGTACCAGTCTCTGTTCCTTATCCCATAAACAGCAAGTGCTGCACACACACAGGCAGTGGCTTATCTCACCATGGAGTCTGTTTCAGCTGGCTGGTTGGACTGCTTGTGGGCCAAGAGGATGTTCAGCACAGCCTTCCAGCCTGGCTCTGTAGAGATACTGGCATCTGTCTCCGTTCCACCATGCTCCCTGGTTTCCTTGCCAAGTGTCACATTTACCCAAGGGCACCAGTCTCTATGCTGAGAGGTGGGGTCAAAGCAGCTTCGGGAAGATGTGTCCTGAGAGGAAGAAGAGAAACAGTGTTGATGAAGGGCAGATGCCATGTCAATTCAGGAAGGCACTGCTATGAGTCGTCCAGTCCAGAATCTCTCAACTGCCCACGTCTCCAGTTGGATGTTCTCCTTTAAACACTGTCTATGTTGTGGCTGCTCTCTTTATGAATACTTTCATTCCCTTCATGTTAAACCAATAGCGCCTGATCAGGTCTGTCCCCCTTACCTCACTGCCATCCCCACATGCCTGAAATACTACCTCTCCAGAATCCATTCCAAAGAAATAAAGGACAAACCTCTTAAATTTTTTTCCCTTTGGATACCCAGCTGTCCCATCTTGAAACTTAATCACATTGTCTACTTCCAGCCACAGGACCCGGGAAGGGGTCAGGCCTGCTTCTCTGTTTGTGAGGGCCTGGTGTGAGGCGATGTGAGGTGTGAGTGAGGGCCTGGTGTGCTGCCTGTGCTCAGTAACTTCTACACACAGATGGACTCACTGAGCTACTAGAAGAGCAGAGGCGAGCTCGTTTGGCTCTCCGGAGAGGACTAGACGGCACTTCCAGGCCACTACTGTCTCCTGTTCCCATACTTCGGGTCACAGGACGGGTTCTGGTGGTGGGGCTAGCGGCCTCTGGCTCAGGACGGTCAACAGGACTGGAAGAGTCCCAGCTCCGAGTTCGGGAGACAATGGGACCTGGGCTCCTTTCAGCCTGAAGGGAAGAAGAGGTAACAGAAGTACAACAACAATATAGATGACAATGGTCAGAAGAAATATTTCTAGAAGCAAGTGAAAGCTAATTCTTTACAATTAAGTCTAAGAATTTATTTTCTGAACTATTGACATAACTAAACTCTTCAAAAAACGATATTTTTATACAAAATCATGAATTTAGCTTCTGTAATGCAATTGGCAAATTTTATTACTATTAACACAGTATTCTGATCAAGTAGTCTGAAGAGAAGCTTACCTGCCTAAAGTAATTTTCAACTTTTCCACCATACTTTTGGCAAAAATGCTGCTTTTGAAAAGGTGATCCCAAGCAAGTTGATTAAGTTTATACCTGCTCTGAGCCAGGAGAACATGTGGCATCCTGGCTCCGAGTCATCATCCTCCGAGGAGACTCAGGCACAAGAGGGAAGCGCTCTGGCCGTCCCTCAGGGCCTGGGATGGGAGAGCTGGTCAGGCCAAAGGATGCATCCAGGTCGGTCATGGATGACTCAATCTGCTGGAAGCCCCAGAGCCCCACCTTCCTCATACACTGTGAACACGTTATTAGGGAGAGCTGCATGGGTTCCAAAGAAGAACTAGGCAGGAATAGAAAAGAGAGTTTTCTCAAAGAGTAACATTTCCAAGGGATTAAGTGAAATTATTTGTGAGACAGTTTTATCTTATCAAACAAATCTCTGGAACAGTCCAGTGGACTGGGAATCATGTCATCTCAGGGCCCTGTCCTGTGATCTCAGGACCCCAACTCCATTCTCTCTCATAAAGTTCCTGTAGAAAGATTAAAGGGTTGGATGCCTGGGTGGCTCAGTTGGTTGGATGTCTGCCTTCGGCTCAGGTCATGATCCCAGAGTCCTAGGATCGAGCCCCACATTGGGCTCTCTGCTTGGCAGGGAGCCTCATTCTCCCTCTCCCTTTGTCTGCTGCTGCCCCCTGCTTGTGTTCTCTGTCAAATAAATAAATAAAATCTTAAAAAAAAAAAAAAGTAAATCTAGATTGGTTCCAACAGTTTTCTTTTCTTTTCCTTCCTTTCCAGATTTTATTTTATTTTATTTTATTTTATTTTATTTATTTATGATAGTCACAGAGAGAGAGAGAGAGAGGCAGAGACATAGGCAGAGGGAGAAGCAGGCTCCATGCACCGGGAGCCCGACGTGGGATTTGATCCCGGGTCTCCAGGATCACGCCCTGGGCCAAAGGCAGGCGCCAAACCACTGCGCCACCCAGGGATCCCCAGATTTTATTTTTTTGTAATCTCTACACCTAATGTGGAGCTTGAACTCACAACCCTAAGAGTCAATGCTCCCCAGACTGAGCCAGCCAGGTGCCCCAGTTCCAATAGTTTTCTATCTCAGAGGGAGTTTATGCCAAATTGAGAAGCTAGAATGGAAATACCAATATGGGGGCTTGACTCCAGCTGGTATTTCCTTTGGTAGGTTTTATGAATTCAACTGATTTTTTTTCCTTTCTTTCTTTCTTTTTTTTTTTTTTTTTTTAAGATTTATTTATTTATGATAGACAGAGAGAGAGAGAGAGAGGCAGAGACACAGGAGGAGGGAGAAGCAGGCTCCATGCCGGGAGCCTCACACAGGACTCGATCCCAAGACTCCAGGATCGTGCCCTGGGCCAAAGGCAGGCGCTAAACCGCTGAGCCACCCAGGGATCCCCATTTTTTTTTACTTTCTATAAACAGAAAGGAGTTGCACTGTTCACAGGAACATGAACTCTCAGCTGGGAAGTGATAGTAAAAACAAAACAAAACAAAAAAAACTTGGGCGCCTGGGTTGCTTAGTCCGCTGGGCATCTGCCTTTGGCTCAGGTCATGATCCTGGAGTCCTGGGATCAAGTCCCACATCTGGATCCTTGCTCAGCAAGGAGCCTGCTTCTTTCTCTCCCTCTGTCTGCTGCTGCCCCTGCTTGTGCTGTCAAATAAATGAATACTATCTTAAAAATAAATTAAACAAAACCAAAACCAAAACTAAAATTCAGGTGTGTCCAGCAATTCCTGAGTTCTAATTCTGGTTTTGTTAGATTCTTACCATCCCCTCACCATTCTCTCAGGTTTTCTTTCTTTTTTTAGAGATTGATTGATTGATTGATTTGAGAGAGAGAGGGAGAGAGAGAGCATGAACAAGCGCACATGCACAAGCAGGGAGAGACAGAGGAGAGGGAGAAGCAGGGCTTGATCCTAGGACCCCGGGATCATGACCTGAGCCAAAAGCATCTGCTTGCTTAATCAACTGAGCCACCCAGGCACCCCTCCCTCGAGTTTTCCTTGTCTGTTTTTCTGACAGGAAATACCATGAGACCTCCAAATGCTATTAGTGACTGATGTGGACCAGTGTATGATCGTGTCAGAGTTCTCATTTTCCTGCAAATTCAGTGACTAACCTACAGGCCCAGCCACACACAGAGAGAACACATGCAGTGACATGGACTTGGATGTCTGAGCCTAATTTGCTTGTAGTTTTTCTCTCTTCAGTTCGGCAATCAAGTTCATCTTCAAGCAAGTGCAGAAGAAGACTGATCTTGTCTTCTGTCAAACACTACAAAAGAATCAAGGTAACAAACTGAAATTTCCAACCACAAAAATCACATACGAGGATGTATCTAGAGGGTACAAGGCAAAAGTCATGAAAGAATTGCCAAACATGAAGACAATTATGTCTTCATTATGGAAGGCTTAGTTCTAAGACTGCAATAAGGTTTTTACATAGAAGCTTTCTGAATTGCCCTGGATCTGCTGATTGAGGAAAGTGGCAATTTTCCTAGAGCTACCCAATCTTTTCTTAGTTTTAATGTTTTCTTTTTTTTTTTTATAAAGATTTTATTTATTTATTCATGAGAGAGAGATAGAGAGAGGCAAAGGGAGAAGCAGGCTCCATGCAGGGAGCCCAACGTGGGACTCAATCCCGGGTCTCCAGGATCACGCCCTGGGCCGAAGGCAGGCACTCAACCACTGAGTCACCTAGGGATCCCCTTAATTTGTTTTCAACTTACCAATTACAGATTTTCTCTGAAACTTGCAAACTTCAAAACCCAAATAATGAAAAACAGATTGCTATTCGTATCTTAACCTGACACTGAATTTATGTCTTAAGAGAACAAGAGAACTTGTCACAGTCTTTATTTTTATTCTAAGAATAATAAGGTAGTGATAAAGTGAACAAAAAAGCTGCCTTGGCTAGGGACGAGGGACATTTAAAATAGGCACAGAGCTGGGGCACCTGGGTGGCTCAATTGGCTGAATGTCCAACTCTTGGTTTTAGCCTGGGGAATGATCCTGGGGACATGAGATCGAGCCTGGTATTGTTTTGTTGTTGTTTTTTAATGATACTGAACCTACCTTCCTCCCTCCCTCCCTTTTCTTTTTCTTTTCTTTTCTTTCTCTCTCTCTCTCTTTCTTTTTTAAAAGATTTTTATGTATTTATCCACGAGAGACACAGAAAGAGAAGCAGAAACACATGCAGAGGGAGAAGCAGGTTTCTCATAGGGAGCCTGATGTGGGACTTGATCCCCCAACTCCAGGATCACACCCTGAGCCAAAGGCAGATGCTCAACCACTGAGCCACCCAGGTGTCCCCTGGCATTGGGTTCTGTGCTCAGTTCAGGAGTCTGCTTAAGACTTTCTCTCCCTTGGAGGCTTAAGGCAGAGTACCATCACCTCAGGCTTCTCCATTCTGTCTTCCTCAGCTGCCCCTGTCCTCTCCCTCAGAGGCATTCTCTGCCTCTTTTTCCCCTCTTCTTTGGAGGGGGGGTTCCTAGAACAGTGCCTGGCACATAACAGGCGCTCAATAAATACTTGTCGTTTGTTGAATGTCTCCTCTCTTCCACTCTGGGAAACTTAGATTTATTCTGTTCTGGGTGACTCTGTATTTTCTTTAGGTGTCCACTTTTCCCATTTGTGCAGTTGATATTTCCCTTTGTTTTTTAAGGTTATTCTCCGAGAAGCTGGTCTCGTTAGATCCCATTTAGAACATGTGCTGAAAACATGGCCACCATCCTAAGCCCATGTGGTAGCCCAGGGGAAAGGAAACCAAGCTACCTCACAGCAGTAGAGGTACAAATCAAGAAGGTAGGGTTTTCTATTCTAGAGCAGTTTTAGAGAGGGATATCCAAGCGCTTGAAGCCCAAATCCAGGAATCTTCCTGCTCCTCTCAGCTTCAGGGGAGATGTCGACAGTATTATATCTGTTTTTAGTCTTCTCAAGCTCTGTCCTGAGCTATTTCTTTTGTAGGGGTCTGCGCCACTTTGTTGAATGGGATCCTTCCCTCCTACATAAACTGCTTCACATGTTGGATTTTTTTCCTTTTCCCCTGGGGAAAGAGGGACTAGCCTTGATCCCTAAAGTCTCTGGAAAGGCTCCCTCCCACTCCCCACTTTTTCTTAACAAAACTCCAGCTCTGCTGTGTACATATGGAAAAGTGTGTATTGCCACCTAAATCATTTGAGTCATTCTTCCAGAGGGGACAAGGAGACCCTCCACCTTTCGGCAACACCTCAGCTCTTCCTTCTGCTATTCCCTTTCCCCACACACCCTTGATTTTTTTGTCCTGTCCTACATTTCAAATTTCTACTTTGTGTTGAACTTGCTTTTTTTTCATATTGAAAAGATACCATTGCCCCAAGAGCCAAAAATAAATGAAAACTGGAAAAAAAAAAAAAAGACTTTTTCTCCCTCTCCCTTTGCCCCTCCCGCCATGTTTTCTTTCTAAAATAAATAAATACATCTTAAATAAATAAACTAAAATAGGCACAGAGGTCAAACTTTGGTTAAAATCTAAACAGCCTCTCAACTAGAAGAAGCAAAATAATAGCTTCTATTTTCCTATAATAAAGCTTGTCTTTGGAGTCTCTACAGGGTGATGAAATGGGACATCAGATATTCAGTTTCGAAGTACAGATGCCCCAGTGCATTTCTAATTTCTATTCACAGGGGAGAAGGGAGTTTATAATTTCTCCTGCAGTACTTTCTTTGGGAAATGATATTTGACCATATGAAGTCAAATTTGTTTCTTTTTTTCTTTTTTTAAAGATTTATTTATATATTTATTTATTCATAAGAGACAGAGAGACAGAGAGAGAGAGAGAGAGAGAGAGAGGGGCAGAGACATAGGCAGAGTGAGAAGCAGGCTCCATGCAGGAAGCCCGACATGGGACTCGATCTTGGGTCTCCAGGATCACGCCCTGGGCGGAAGGCAGGCACTAAACCACTGAGCCACCCAGGGATCCCCTCAAATTTCATTTCTTCTGTTAAATATGTAATAAATCAAGATAAAATAGGATGTATGCCATTTAAAGAATCATATCTAGAAGTTTCAATGGAACCCATTATTTAAACTCTGATGCCCTTTTGATGGAGACTGGAAGAGGTCAGTTGAGGGACAACTAGTTCTCTCCATAGCAATCTTAATCCTCTGTCATGTAAAGAAATACTTTATGTACAAATGGTAGTGACACTGAAGGCCACTGTAGGCTAGCCAAGAAGAACTCACCATAGTTTTCAAGTCCTCTGGCCTCAGGGAAGGAAGCTGGAGGTCCAAGTGACAAAGACTTTGAAAACGATCTAGGAATTCACTAACAAGAACAGCAGGCTCATCCAATGGCAACATCCCAAATCGATCTGTGGACAAAGTACACTGGAAGGTCATATTGATGCAAATTGTAAAAAATACAAAATGTGTATAAAACAACGTGGGATAGGTACTGATAAAATATTTGAAGGTATTAAGAATTACTGACTTTTTTTGATGGGGCTATGATATTTTCCTGATAGTACTCAAAAAAGAAGATTCTTAAGAAGGGTTTCTCAGGAGTAGTCAGCTGAATTTAAAGACCAACGACAGTGTGTAAAAGCAAAGGCCCTAAGGATGGCACAGGTGGGGAACTCTAAATACGTTCACAGGATTGGAACACAGTGTGCCTATAGGGAAAGGGAGTAGGAGATGGGCTAAAGTGTAAAGAGTAACTAGCCACGACTTTACTAATGTATGTGATGAGAAATTACTGAAAGATTTTTTTTAAGAGAGTTATATTACAGAAAATATGCATTAGAATAGAGATTGTAAGGGGTCAGTTGGGATGTAAAAAAATAAGCTTAACAGATATTAAATGATTTTTTTAAAGGAATGAAAAAAAGGATTTCATTTACTTATTTGAGAAAGCGAGTGAGTGCACAGCACACATGCATGCACAAGCAGAGGCAAGGGCAGGCAGAGGGAAAAGCAGGCTCCCTGATGCCGGCCAATCCTCCTGGTATCATGACCACGCCCTTAGCTGAAGGCAGATGCCTAACTAACTGGGCCGCCCAGGCACCCTTGAAGGATGTTTTTTTTTTTTAAGATTTTATTTATGTATTTTACAGAGAGCATGCGCGTGCAAGCACAAGCAGGGGGAGCAGCAGAAGGAGAGGGAGAAGCAGGGAACCCGACGTGGGGCTCAATCCTGGGACCCTGGGATCATGACCTGAGCTGAAGGCAAATGCTTAACCAAATGAGTCAACCAGGTGCCCCCATTAAAATGATTTGAGGTAGGGATGCCTGGGTGGCTCAGTAGTTAAGCATCTGCCTTTGGCTCAGGCGTGATCCCGGGATCAAGTCCCACATTGAGCTCCCTGCGAGGAGTCTGCTTCTCCCTCTGTCTATGTCTCTGCCTCTCTCTGTGTCTCTCATGAATAAATAAATAAAATCTTTAAAAATAAATAAAAGTGATTTAAGGTAATAATCCCTGTTAGGTACTAGTGGCAGAGGGATGGAGAGAAAGATCATCAATGTTATAAAACTCTTAATGATCAATAAAATCTATTGTAAGAAATATAGGGCAAGTAATATACAGCGCTAAATTAGGAAAATGAAAATAAACCTATGATTTTGTTTTAAAGATTTTATTTATTTATTCATGAGAGACACACACACAGAGAGAGGCAACACACAGAGAGAGAGGCAGAGACACAGGCAGAGGGAGAAGCAGGCTCCATGCAGGGAGCCCGACGCGGGACTCGATCCCAGGTCTCCAGGATCACGCACCCTGGGCCAAAGGTGACACTAAACTGCTGAGCCACCCGGGCTGCCCTAAACCCATGATGTTAAATAGAAATCTAGCCGTGACAGTTTCACAAGCACACAAATACATCAAAACTTACCTAACAGTACACTTAATATGTGCAGTTTATTTATTTTTTTTTTAAGTTTTTTTTTTATTTTATTTTATTTATGATAGTCACACAGAGAGAGAGAGAGAGGCAAAGACACAGGCAGAGGGAGAAGCAGGCTCCATGCACCGGGGGCCCAACGTGGGATTGGATCCTGGGTCTCCAGGATTGCGCCCTGGGCCAAAGGCAGGCGCCAAACCGGTGCGCCACCCAGGGATCCCCCTGTGCAGTTTATTTTATGCCAGTTATTACTCAATCATAAGGCTGCTTAAAAAAAATCTCTTCCAGTTTTGTTATTACGAGGTACAAAAGCAGTAAAAATAGCACTTTGTTCACCATTTATTGTATCATTAGCAACCACATTTTGGTCTCTAATTTAGTAAATATTATCAAACTATGAAAAGTTGTTGCAAGTAATCATATACGCCAAAACACATGCCAACAATTTAAAAAGATGCATCATTTTACTAGAAAAGTCCAATATAAAAAAACTAAAATGAACAAAAAACGGTATGGATTTTTAAAAATCAAGTAAAGGGGTGCCAAGGTGGCTCAGTTGGTTGAGTGTCCCAACTCTTGGTTTCAGCTCAGGTTGTGAGATCCAGCCTCACATTGTGCTCCCTGCTCAGCGTGGAACCTGCTTGAGTCTTTTCTGCTTCTTCTCCCCCCACACCCTCCAGTCAATCCATCAATCAATCAATAAAGTGAGGTTTAACAATAACGTTTGGTCTGATGCCTACAGTCTGAAGAAAATACTAGTAAATATTGATAAAGGCAAAAGAGCAAACAGAAGAAATTAAACCCACCATAAAAATGTTTTACATAAGTTAAAATATATGTTTTATAATTAATACATGGATTTTGTCTATTTCAGTGTTTGATATGTTCAAAATAATCAGTCTAGCAAATTAATAATTATAAATTAAAATGTTTAAAGAGATTTAATTTAGTTGGTAAATGTTAGAAAAAAATTACTTTCAAAATTGTATCTATCAGATACGCTTAATAAATGTAAGCATTAAAATAGAAATAGTTGCGGGGCGGGGGGGGGGGGGGAAATAGTTGCAGGTGTTCTTCTCTTCACACTAAAGTCTCTGGAATGTGAAAGAACCAAACCAAGGAATGGTATAATTGAAAGGTCACATTTGAGATCTATTTAGGAGGCAGAATGGATAGGACTGGGTGGTGAGGATATGGAAAGGAAGCTAAAGTGACTTCCAGGTTTCTTGCTAGGAGAACTAGGGGGGAGGTCAGTACCATTTAAGACAGAGAAAATATAAGAAGAGAAGTAAGTTTTAGTATAAAACAAAGACTTCAGTTTTGTATATATTGAATTCCAGGTACCTACAGCAAGATACAACACGAAAACGTTTAGAAGGTAGTTGAAAATGAGTCAAGCTCAAAAGAAAAGTCTGGATAGGAGTCAGAGGTCTGTAAGTAGATGGACCAAGAAACCAGTCTAGTCCTAAGAGTCAGGACCCCAGCAGGGTCCTGGGCAGATCCTAAAAACCTGGACTAGGTACACTGAAAGAAACATTCATATCCTCATGGGCCGGAGTTCAGTTGTACTACACAGTGAAATAACTAGGCCAACAGCAAAAACTCCTTGTTACATGTCATCTTCACTTAAAAATGTTTTTCCTTAACAGTCCCTTTCTGTCGCCCCATCATTATCAGTAAATGGTACTCTATGGACACTTTCAATCTCTTTTTTCCTCTTAGTGGTTCGTGGAATATCCCCAGTCATCAGTGACCCTGGAATTGGCCTGAGCTATCCTACTGAAATAAAAACTACACCCACATGGCACTAATCTGGTCAGGCACGAAGTTCTGTACCTAGTCTTGGTAAGCCCTCCAGAGGGTTCTGCTTTGGAGCCTAGTTAGCAGAATATGCCTATGTGATCAGTAAAATATATATATTTATTTTATTTATTTATTTTCTAAAGATTTTATTTATTTATTTGAGAGAGAGCATGTGAGAGGTGGAGAGAGGCAGAGGCAGAGAGAGAAGCAAGCTCCCCACTCAGCAGGGAGCCCGATGCAGGGCCTAATCCCAGGACCCTGGGATCATGATTTGAGCCAAAGGCAGACGCTTAACCAACTAAGTCACCCAGGTACCCCAAAATATTTATTTATTTTAAAAAAGGTTTATTTATTTGAGAGAGAGAGACAGAGACAGCATAATGAGGAGGGGCAGAGGGAGATCCGAGAATCTTAAGCAGACTCTGCACTGAGTGCTGAGCCTGACCTGGGGCTTGATATCACCACCCTGAGATCACAACCTGAGCTGAAACCAAAAGTCCAATGCTCAACCAACTGCATCATCCAAGTGCCCAGCCAGTAAATAAAATACTTAAAAAATGGCACTTCCTGGGGCGCCTGGGTGGCTCAGTCAGTTAAGCGTCTAACTTTTGATTCAGCTCAGGTCATGATCTCTGGGTCATGGGATTGAGCTCCACATCAGGATCGGTACTCAGTGGAGAGTCTGTTTGAAGATTTTCTCCCTTTGCCCCTCTCCCCACTTTTGGACAATTTCTCTCTCTCTGAAATGGGTAAATAAGGGTGCCTGGGTGGCTAAGTCAGTTAAGCGTCTGCCTTTAGTTCAGGCCATGATCACGGAGTCCCAAGATCAAGCCCTACATCAGGCTTCCCGCACAGCAGGTAGTCTGCTTCTCCCTCTGACCCTCCTTTGTCTTGTGCTCTCTCTCAAATAAATAAATAAATAAATAAATAAATATTAAAAAAAAATAAAATGGGTAAATAAATTTTAAAAAAATCCCACTTGTTACTACATTCTGGGCTTTTTGTGTACACAAACATTTAAAGGCAAAGAGCCTTTAAGAGTACAGATACAACTAAAAATTAAAGATGCAAAAATATTAGCAATGCATCTTAACATTTTTCACAAAACAAGTTCTAAATCAAGATCCTAAGATCAATAACAAAGGAGGTATCATCATGTATCTTATAAGGCAGGGCATTCTAGAGTGTGAGGCTTCATAAAACTCTTGTGTCTCTTAGCCTAAGTATAAATTTTGGAACCATAGAGAAAACATATCCTGCTGTTAGTTTCACAGAATACATAGTCAGGTTCACTCTAAAGTAGCTTAGTTCTAAAAAAAAAAAATAAATAAATAAATAAAATAAAATAAAATAAAAAATAAAAAAGTAATGACTGAAGTTAATAACTAGAATGAAGACAATCAAAATGCACCTGATTCAAGAGAGTGCGCCCTGTCAAGGCCTTTATACAAGCAGTCTTTGGCTTCAATGCTGTTACAATGTGTCATTTCACTGTGATAAACTCTACATTTGTAATCACTCTCATATGGCTTCCTGTGAGTTGGCTTGAGCAATAGAACCCCATTTAACTGCCACCGTTAGTGTACCAAAGGAAGCCTGGGGAGAACATGGGACTGCTTGTTACGGTGGGAAAAACAATTAGAAATCTAATAAAACCATAGTTTTGCCTCCTCACCAGTTGGTTTTAAGATCTCTGATTCTGTTTCCTCACCCCAAAAACTGGGTTGATAATCTACTTCCCAGGGTCCCTGCGAGGATTAAACGGGATAATGTATGCATGGCTAAGCTGTTGGCATGTCAGATACCCTTAATAAAGTAATAACCTAATAGGTAGATTAATGTAAATTCTCCTTGAAAAGCACAAAGAGAAAGGAAAGAAACTTCAAAGACTAGATTTTCACAAAGAAATAGACAATACTAGAAATGCAATAACCAAGGAGAGATGGTAAATGGGAAATCTTGGAAATAAGTACCTGGGGAGGGGCTGTCTGGCCAGAAACAGAACTTTTCATGGGCAGTGCACAAGGCCTTCTTCAGCTCGGCACATCGGTCCTTATCTGAAACCCACACAGGGAGCAATGCCTTAGAAAACCTTAGATTCAAAATCGAATAGCCAAGAACCTTTAAGAGTATGCCCAGAATTAAAAATAAAAACCAAGATAATTTAAAAAGATATAAAAATATTAGCAACTACATCATCTTAATATTTTTCACAAAACAAGTTCTAAATCATGATTCTAGGATCAATAACAAAGGAGACAGTATGTATTTTATAAGGCAGGGCATTCCAAAACACAAGGCTTCATCAAAGAGCTGTCTCTTTGTCTAAGTATACATGTTTAGAACCATAGTGTAAACATACCCTGTTGTTAGATTCCCAGAATGCATTAAGTCAGGTTCAGTCTAAAGTAGTTTAGTTTTTTATTTATTTATTTTATTTATTTATTTATTTTTTTAATTTTTATTTACTTAGGATAGTCACACAGAGAGAGAGAGAGAGGCAGAGACACAGGCAAGAGGGAGAAGCAGGCTCCATGCACCGCGAGCCCGACGCGGGATTCGATCCCGGGTCTCCAGGATCGCGCCCTGGGCCAAAGGCAGGCGCCAAACCGCTGCGCCACCCAGGGATCCGCTAGTTTTTTTTTTAAAAATAGTAACTGAAGCTAATAATTATAGATGAAAATGATCACAAATTCACTTTGTTATATATAATAGTATGCATTCTTTGATCAAACACATGACTTATCTTTTTAGAAAAACTAGTCTAATACATCTTTGAATATGGAGGAAAATATAATTTGTACTTTATACTTACATCGGTCAAAATCAAAAGCTGGTTGCAAACTGGCACAGAGAAAAGCCTGACAGCTGGAGCACTTGAGCATATCACATTCAACTGTGACCCAGCCATATTTTGCACAGACAAGTGGAGACAGCTCGGCGGGCTTACCTGCCCATTTCAGAGAGTATTCATGTTAAGGAAAACAAGGCTGCAAGTATATTAAAATGAGTAAGTAAAAAAAAAAAAATGAGTAAATCAGAAATTAAAACTTTTAACTTATTCTTTTACAGTTATATTAAGAAGAAAAGCAGTAAGAAAAATTTGGAAAACTCTTTTTTTCTTTTTAAATATTTTATTTATTTGGTAGAGAGAGAGCACAAACAGAGGGAGAGAGAGAAGCAGGCTCTCTGCTGAGCAGGGAGCCTAATGTGGGGCTTGATCTCAAGACACTGGGATTATGACCCAAGCCAAAGGCAGGCACTTAACAGACTGAGCCGCCCAGGTGCCCCTGAAAAGCTATTTTTAAAGCACACATACTTTACAGAATAATGAAAAGTCATCTGAGTAATAACCAAAGGGGAAAAAATTATGAACTTCTCCTCTACAAAGCCCTGTGTATTTTATGTTTAAAATGTGTAAGTGAGTATGCCTGGGTGGCTCAGTGGTTGAGCTTCTGTCTTCGGCTCAGGGCATGATCCTGGAGTTCCTCCCCGCGGGGAGCCTGCTTCTCCCTCTGTCTATGTCTCTGCCTCTCTCTCTGTGTTTCTCATGAATGGATAAATAAAATCTTAAAAAAAAATAAAAATAAAATACTTAAGTTATTATTGGTTGTGGGGGTGAATATAGAAGCCATTCACTTTCACTTATTGTGAAATACTAAAGATTAAGAGCACTAGTAAAAGCAGAGATATGCCTAAGCAATAACAAGCAGAAATGTTTCCTGCCACTCATCTATGCTCTCCTATTGTACCATACTACTTTTACATTTTAAAGAATAGTCAGTAAAATTAATAGTATTCTTTATTATTCCCCTGCCTAAAATTTGATCTGTACTAATGTATCTAGACTATGTGTCTTAAATAGGCTAACAGCACACAGGAATCTCTAAATATGTGCCTGGGAAAATGTCCTAAAACATTTACTAATCTTTAATATTCAACACTTAGTTTTTTATATTTTACGTAAAGAGCTCTTTTTCACAGAATACACATACACATAAAACATGAAAGAAGATGCTGGAAAGTTCTATATTTTTATAAGGGATATGGTAATTTGAAAACATTCCAATATCAGCAAAAGAGGGCCTAATGGCTAGAAAACAGAATTTAGTTATAAACATTAAAGGAGCTGGCATTATCTAAATTATAGGAATGGGGGGGGGGCGCCTGAGTGGCTCAGTCGGTTGAAGGTCTAACTCTTGATCTCTCAGCTTGTGTCTGGATCTCAGGGTTGTAAGTTCAAGCCCTGTACTGAGCTCCATATTGGGTGTGGAGTCTACTTAAAAAAAAGTAAATAAAATAAAAATAAATAAAAGTAATAGAATCACTTAGTAGCTAAGTTAAATAAATGTCATATCCAAAGCAGTGATCAATTTAAATGCAATGAAAACAAAAAAGAACCAAAGAAAACAGTTCTAAATACTGGAGCATAATCAGGAATTAGTCTAAGGAGGGCAGCCCCGGTGGCGCAGCGGTTTAGCGCCGCCTGCAGCTCAGGGTGTGATCCTGGAGACCTGGGATCGAGGCCCATGTCAGGCTCCCTGCATGGAGCCTGCTTCTCCCTCTGCCTGTGTCTCTGCCTCTCTCTGTGTGTGTCTCTCATGAATAAATAAATAAAATCTTAAAAACAAAACAAAACAAAACAAAAAAAACCTTTAAAAAAAAAAAGGAATTAGTCTAAGGAGTAGCAGTTGAAGGACAGTTAAAATAAAATTCCTCTTCCTGAGCAATTTATTCGTAAAGCTACCAGGTGGTAAGCAAGGAGGAGGACAGCCAGGAGGGTGAGGGGAAGCAGCTCAGTGCTAGGTGTCAGAACCCAAGTTGGGGAAAAAGGGGCTGCTCACCTTGAAGTGCTGAAGCCAAGTAGGGTATAAAGAACATCACCATGGAGCCCCAGTCACAAATCAGGGATAACTGGAGTACCAAAATATATCATGATAGTAATGGATTATATAATCAATGAATAAAAAAGCAGCCCTTGCTATCAATAAATTACTACTTAATTACTAAAATTTGATGAGGAATGGGATATTTGCATAGTTTCAAAGCACTTCTGCACAAAACACTTTTTAATTTACAAAGGAAGAAGAGAATTACTTTACAATGGAAAAAAGATGGGCAGACATTCCTTTAATCAAGTGATCAAAGGAACCTTGCCAGGAAAGGAATAAATCAAAATTATTATGCCACCTGAAAAGCTGCAGTGAGAACACAGCACCATTCTGTGATGCTCCTACACTACCTGAATCCAACCCTAAGGAAATATCATACAGATGTGAATTGACATACACTGTACAAAACAACTGGCCTACGATCTCCAAAAGTATCACAATCATGAAATTCAAAGAAAAACAGGAATCTCAACTGGATCCTTTTGCTATAAAGAATATTAGGAAAACTGATGAAATGATTAGACTCTGAGGGTTAGACAGTAATAATTTATTAGGTGAAATTTCCTGATTTTGATTGTTGCATTGCAGTTATGTAGGAAAAAGTCCTTGTTTGTAGGAAATATTTGGGGGTAATGAGGTATCACTTTGACAACTTATTTATAAGTGGCTCAAAAAGGAAGTTCTTTGTAACCTGTGCAACCTTTCTCTAAGTCTATAATTGTTTTATATTTTTAAAAAAACCACTCTACTGAATAGAAAAGGGCAAAAGTGATGGAACATCACCTGAGATTAGGTCACAAACAGTCTAGCTTTTATCTTGTTCCCTTTTACTCGCTCACTCTGATGGAAACCAGTTGTCTGTATGGAGAGGCCCATGTTGTAAGGAATGTAGGGAGGTCTCCAGCCAAGAGCCACTAGAGACCTGAAGCCCTCAATCCAACAGTCACGTGAGTGAGCTTGGAAGTGCATCTTTTCCTAGTGCAGCCTGGAGATGGTTGCAGGTCAGCTGCCACCTCGATTGCAGTCTGTGAGAGACCCTAAGCCAGAGGACCCAACTAAGCCACACCTACATTCCTGACCCATACAAACTGTGACACCAATGTTGTTGTGCCACTAAATTGTAGTGTAATTCATTATGCAATAATAGATAATTAATATACAGGGAAATCTAAAGACAGGAAGTGTACTATGCACAGTCTCAAAAAACATTAGGTTTGGGTACCAACAGTCTTACACTGTAATCCTGGCTCTGCCATTTGCTAGAAGGTTGATCAGAGGCAAGTCAGATAACCTACCTGAAACTGCTTCCTCTTCTGTAAATGAGTATAATAATAATAATAATAATAATAATAATAACAGTAATACCTATTTTCATAGGTTTAAAGTGAAGATCAAATATAATAATATATGTGAAAGCACACTACATATAAGCATTAGTTATTATTTCTTCTCCTCTCAAGCTCTTAGTGTTTTCTTCTGTGAAAAGAAAAGGTCAGGTCATCTCAAATATCCCTTTGAGGAATAACATTTTTTTTAAAAAAGATTTTATTTATTTATTCATGAGAGACAGAGAAAGAGAGGCAGAGACACAGGCAGAGGGAGAAGCAGGCTCCATGCAGGGAGCCCGACGCGGGACTCCATCTCTGGAATCTGGGATCACACCCTGAGCCAAAGGAAGATGCTCAACCGCTGAGCTACCCAGGCATCCTGAGGAATAACATTTTATGATGCTAATTTTCCTATAAAATTTCTTACCAATTCTTCTTTTTCAATCTTAACTAGGCTCCATGCCCGAAATGGGACTTGAACTCATGACCCTGAGATTATGAATCACATGCTCTACCAACTGAGCCAGCCAGGCACCTCTTACCAAGTTTAATTCTTAAATTAAAGCATCAGAGTAAGTGGAGGAATAACAGTTCCAAGAGCAGGCAGAAAGTGCAGTTCACATGACCTAATAAAAAAGGATATAGAAAATGTTTCCACTCTGCTAAAGAAGGCTTCTTTACTTGTAGATTCCAATGGCGGCTGTTCTGCTTGGGGTGACCCATTAACTGACTGGAATGTGGCAGATGTGTCCTTCCTAAAATAAAGTGGCAGAACTCTTGGTAATCCTTTCACAGCATCACTTTGCCCAAACATCTTTATCTCACCTCTTGGCACATCATAGCATCAATCATGCAATGCTGGATTTTAACCTTTCTAAAAATCATTTCAGTTATGTCATTCCTTTGCTTAAAATTGTCAATGGTTTCATAATACTTACTAAATAGAATCCAAATTCTTCAGTCTGGCATTCAAATCTCTTTACAGTTTGGCTATACTTAAATTTCAAATAATTTCTACCTCCAGAGTGCTCCACTAATTCTATATACTAGCAAACTGTTGTAGCTTACTGTTCTCCAACAGTATTTTATGCAACTTTAGTAGACACAACACTGGACTCAAGGCTTCTATGCACTATACAATTTGAAACACCTTAGAAATTTAACTCTTTTAACACAGAGATAAATAATTTTGATATTTCTACCTGGGTCTGACTCTTGATACCCACTCTCCCAGAAAAGAATTAAAAAATTCAAATCAAAGTAGAAATCTTTGGGCAATTTCATGAAAAAAATTCAGGGAGAAAAAAAACCCAACAAAACAATTATCTTATTTTCGGTGAAAGGCATTTCAACAGGGCCTGAGAGGAGTAGAGAGAGGAACTGCTGAGGACAAAAGTCATTTTAATAAAAACAGGGTGACACCTATAACTCAAAAGAAATAAACTCATTCTAAGAATCTTTCGGAGAGTCAGAGAGCCTCAGGGAGGTGTGCTTCTTGAAAGAAATTGAGAGGATCCATAAACCTGAATGAGTTAAAAGTGACTTTTTTTTTTAACTTACTAACCTCTAATTGAAATTTAGCATTTCCTTCAATTATGAATGAAGGTATTAAAAACCCCACAAAATATAGCATCAGCAGTACCTGTGAATTTGTCACCAATGGAAATCAGATTTTGTCACCAACATTATGGTTGTTGCACATGTTTTGAAATACCATTTATGTTCAGAAGTATGGTAGATAATAGAATTGCTAGATGTTACTTAACTCTTTAATAAAATGAAGCATGTTACTGCCTCCCTTTTTTCTTTTACTATCTTGATAGCTGCATTCCAATATAATTGGTTTTTTATAATCCTACGTAATTTATGCGCTTAAAAATATTCTGAGAAAAAAATATTCTGAGAAGAGGTTCATAGGCTTTACGAGGCTACCAAAGGTGTCTAAGGCTCAAAAAAGAGGTTAAGAAACCCAACTAAGAGATGTCAGGTGCATATTGTTAGCGGTCCTCTTTTTTTTTTTTTTTTCCTCTTCCCCCCCAAAACCTGTCTTGTGGCAAAATTCCACGGGTGGTGTGGAATCCAGTATATCCCCATAATATTAAAACCAAGTAAACGCAGTAAACCCATTCTCCTTCAAAACCCAGGAGGTAGCCAATGCCACCAACCGAGGTGCCGACCCAGGGGATCCCCCCGCTGCCCGCCCAGGCCCTCGCTCCCCAAACCCCCTCCAATCCGCCGGTGCGGGACCCAGGGTGGACTCCTGAACTCACGCTTCGGCGCCTCCCTCTTCCGGGGCAATCCCCTCATCTATCAGCTGCCGGACTTTTTGAGGAGTCCCTTCTGGGGAGCGAACAACCGCACCCCAAGTCTTTTCAACCCCCGAGGCAAACGCTTGCCCCTCACTGGGCGCCGCCATCTTGGTCCGTTGCCGAGTTGCTTCCCCGCGGGTCTGAAGGCTCAGGAACTTCCGTTCTGCGGGGTGAAGGTCCTCCTCTGGAGGCGCGGTCCCGCGCGTTTGCCCACGCGACTCGCAGAATCCGGCCGCGGGGCGCACCCGGTCGTGGCCATCTTAGAACGAGGTAAACCCTCATTTTAGAACGAGTTAAACCACCACGGGAGGCCCCGGTATTTAAACCTAGACTCCCTGTTTCCCTTATGCACGAGCACGTTTGGGCCGATAAGGGGTTTTTAGAGCGCCGTTTCTCTGAATTCGATAGGGACCAGAGGCCACGTTTAGTCTTACAGTAATTAACTGAAATGGCCCTCCTAAGTCACATCTTTTTACAAGTGAAGAGATGGCGACCGTCCCTTGAGAGTACATGACCTAGAAGCTTTCTTGGAAACCGCGTTACCGGTGGGGTTAGAAGTCCGTGGCACTTGGCATCACCGAACAGCCTCCCTCCTTTGTCCGGTGCGGAGCGCGCCCTGCCGACGCTGGGCTGGGCTGGGCTGGGCTGGGCTGGGCGCGCGCAGTGACAGCAGTGAACCGAGACCAATGTTAGGGGAACAGGACCGCAAACAAATGCATGTTCCTATAGTTTTGAGCTTAGGATCAGGAGTGCCCTGGAACGGACGCCGGGGTGGCTCGGTGGTTGAGCGTCTGCCTTTGGCTCAGGTTGTGATCCCGGGGCCCTGGGATCAAGCAGGTAGCCTGCTTCTCCCTCTCCCTCTCCCCGGGTGTCTCTCATGAATAAATACATAAAATCTTAAAAAAGGAAAAAAAGTGCCCCAAAGAGGTACTGAGTGTACACAAGGAGGGCCTAATTTAGTCTGCAAGTTTTGCCAGACTTCCAAGTGCTGGAGCTAGAATGGATGAGATTATGGGAAAGAGATCCAGTTGGAAGGAGTTTGTCTCTGATCAATTGGAAAAGAAGACTTGTGACTGAGTCATAGACAGAGATGAAAGTGGGACCACCCCCACCCCTCCAGCTCACTTCTGTGGGCTTCTAACTCCAGTAATGTCCCTGCCAGCCACGACCTTCAGTCTGTTGATCCAGCCTCCTTTCCATGGTCCGGAGCCTCCCTTCCCTCCCTAGCCAGCTAAGTTCATTGCCACTCATCGTCATCATCATCATCATCATCATCATCATTTCTTTGCAAAATTTGAATATCTGCTCAGAATTAGTTAAGATTGAAGCATTATTATTTTTTTAATTTTTTGTTTATTTATGATAGTCACATGCACAGAGAGAGAGGCAGAGACATATGCAGAGGGAGAAGCAGGCCCCATGCACCGGGAGCCCGACGTGGGATTCGATCCCGGGTCTCCAGGATCACGCCCTGAGCCAAAGGCAGGCGCCAAACCGCTGCGCCACCCAGGAATCCCAGATTAAAGCATTATTGTTAGTGTGTCATATGTGATAAATGGCATAGTTATGATTTTTTTTTTTTTTTAGATTTTATTTATTTGTTCATGAGACACACAGAAAAAGAGACGCAGAGACGTAGGCAGAGGGAGAAGCAAGCAGGCTCCATTTAGGGAGCCCGATGCGGGACTCGATCTCCAGGATCAGGCCCTGCGCGGAAGGCAGACTCAATTAACCGCTGAGCCTGGGCATCCCTGTTATGATGGTTTTTTAAAAAAAATTCCTTACTTTAAAAACAAAAACAAAAATAAAAAAAAGAATAAGGACTTAAAAGAGATACATCCCAAAGTATTTGTGGTATTATGGTATGATGTCTGGGATTTGCTTTAAAATTCTTTTTTTTTTAATTTAAAAAAAAATTTATTTATTTATTTACTCATGAGAGACACACACACAGAGAAACATAGGCAGAGGGAGAAGCAGGCTCCCTGCAGGCAGCCCAATGTAGGACTCAATCCCAGGACCCCAGGATCACGACCTGAGCCAAAGGCCGACGTTTAACCACTGAGCCACCCCGGATCGCTAAAATTATTGAACAGAAGGGCACCTGGCTGGCTCAGTTGGTGGAGCTTTGGACTCTTGATCTTGAGGTTGTGAGTTTGAGCCCCATGTTGGGTGTAGAGATTACTTAAAAAGAAAATCTTTTTTTCTTTTTTTTTTTAGATTTTATTTATTCATGAGAGCCACAGAGAGAGGCAGAGACATGGGCGGAGGGAGAAGGAGGCTCGCTGCTTGATCCCAGGACCCCAGGATCACAACCTAAGCTGAAGGCAGATGCCCAACCACTGAGCCACCCAGGTGCCCAAAAATAAAATCTTAAAAAAAAATTCTTGAAGAGAAAAGTGTATGGAGGAATAGATGAAAGAAGATTGCAAAATGTTTTTAATTGTTGAATTTGGGTGATGGACTCATGGGAGTTCATCATATCATTCTATCATTGACAACATCATAATAAAAAGCAAAGTAAATAAGCTAAAAATAACACATTTTCATGAATATCCTCTCAATTTCCTTGAATGTCTCTTGCCTTATAGTACTCATTTGGCAAAACTTCACTCCCAGTTGAGTTCAACTCTCCACCTACCTCTCTGCTCCTGCACTCAATCAACTTAATATGGTTAAAGAAAAATGCAGGACATGCTTATTTGTCTCTATATTCTTGACGTCATGGGGGCTGTTAATTCTGTGCAGACATTTTGTCTTTTTTTCTATAATTTCACAATGCCTGGTACATAATAGATGTTGAGAAGATGGCTGAAGGGCCATCCAGCCTTAGAATTTCCCATAGGATCCTCTGGGGCCAACTTTGAGACTTCATCGCATTCTACCTTCTCCCCCTGCCCTATCCTGCAGCCTCCTCCTTTCCATGGTATGCCCTTCTCCTAAGTCCTCTGGCCTGCTAATCTCACTCTCAGGGTCAGTTTATCCATTTTGTTTATCCCATGGAAGCAGACAGCTCCTCTGATAGCTCCAGCTGTCAGACTGTCTTTATTGCCTGTGTGAGTTTTTTTTTTAATTTGTTTTTTTCTAGTAACATCTACACTCCATGTGGAACTCGAACTCATGACCCCTGAGAGCAAGAGCTGCATGCTCTTCTGACTGAGCCAGCCAGGTGCCCCTGTGTGTGTGTTTTTTTAATGTGAGAATATACAAAAATTTATGTAGCTAAGCATTTTATGCTATGTAGGACCTCTTAAGAATGAGTCAAACAGGGATGCCTGGGTGGCTTAGCATTTGAGCGTCTGCCTTTGGCTCAGGGTGTGATCCTGGGTTCCTGGGATTGAGTCCCTCCTGCATCAGGCTCTGGAAGGGAGCCTGCTTCTCCCTCTGCCTATGTCTCTGCTTCTCTTTCTGTGTGTCTCATGAATAAATAAATAAAATCTTAAAAAAAAAGAATGAGTCAAACATACTATGTTTGCTAGTATAATTCTTTAATGAACTACAAAAATGTGTCAGACAGCTAAATTGACATTTTTAGTGAAAATTTAATTTCTGTAAAATGTGACATTTGATAAGTTTTTAAGTGGGGACACATTTATCAAACATTTTGATTTCTTATGGGCTATTTTTTGTTGATCTGTAACTTATATAACATAAAAATCACCCTTTAATAAAGTGGTTTTTACTATACTCACAGAGTTGTGCAACCATCACCAATTCTTAAACATTCCATCACTTCCTAGAGAAACCCCATACTTGTCAGCAGTTATTCCCCATTCCTTCCACCAGTCCACTAATATAATTAACCACTAATTATAATTAGCCACTAATCTACTTTTGGTCACTATGGATTTGTTTATTCTAGACATTTCATATGAATGGAATCATACAATATGTGGCTTTTTAAAAAAAGATTTTATTTTTAAGTAATCTCTACCCCCAACATGGGGCTTGAACTACAACCATGAGTTCAAGAGTCACATGCTTCACCAACTGAACCAGCCAGGTGCCTCCAAGTGCTTTTATGTTTAGCTTCTTTCATTTCACATAATGCTTTCAAGGTTCATTCATGATGTAGCATGTATTAGTACTTCATTTTTTATGGCTGAATAATATTCTATTGTACTGATGGATATACCTTATTTTGGTTTTCCATTCATCAATTGATAGACATTTGTGTTGTTTACATTTTTTGGGCTATTATGAATAATACTGTTATCGATATTTGTGTGTCAGTCTTTTTGTGTGGACATATGTTTTCAGTTCTCATGGATGTATATCAAGGAATAAAATTTGAGTCATCTGGTAACTCTATGTTTAACCCTTTGAGAAACAAACTTTTCTAAGGTAGCCGTACCATTTTACAATTCCACTAGCAGTGTATGAGGGTTCTAATCTCTTTACTTCTTGTCAACACTTATTATTATCTACCTTTAAAATTATTTATTTATTTATTTATTTGAGAGAAAGAGAGAGACTGTTCAGCAAAGGGTGGAGGGTCAGAGGGAGAGGAGGAGGGAGAGAATCTCAAGCAGACTCCCCACTGAGCATGGATGGAGCATGACATGGGGCTCTATGCAGGACTCAATCTCATGACCCTGAGATCAAGATCTGAGCTGAAATTAAGAGCCAGATGTTTAACTGACTGAGCCACCCAGGTGCCCCTATTGTCTTTTATTTTAACTATCCTAGGGAATGTGAAGTGGTATCTTATGTGGTTTTTATTTGCATTTCCCTAATCATAGGGTTGTCAAGCATCTTTTCATGTGCTTATTGGCCATTCTTCTTTGGAGAAGTGTCTATTCAGATCCTTTGCCCATTTGTCTTTTTGTTGAATTTTAGGAGTTCTTTATATATTTGTGATATTAAAACCTCAGATATATTGTAAATATATTCTCCTATCTCATAGGCTGTCTTTACTTTCCTGATAATGTTCCTGGGTGGATACATTTTAACTTTACATTTTGATGAGATCCAATTTATCTATTTTATCTTTTGTTACTCATTGACTCCTTTGGTGTCATATCTAAGAATTCCTTGCCAGGGATCCCTGGGTGGCGCAGCGGTTTAGCACCTACCTTTGGCCCAGGGTGCGATCCTGGAGACCCAGGATCGAATCCCATGTCGGGCTCCCGGTGCATGGAGCCTGCTTCTCCCTCTGCCTA